CTTATCTCTCCTTGCTATTGTTTGGAACTCTACATTCCAATGGGAATATCTTTCCCTTTCTCCTTTGCTTTTAGCTTCTCTTCTTTTCACAGCTATTTGTAAGGCCTCCTCAGACAACCATTTTGTCTTTTTGCATTTCTTCTCCATGGGGATGGTCTTGATCCCTGTCTCCTGCACAATGTCATGAACCTCCGTCCATAGTTCATCAGGCTCTCTGTTTATCAGGTCTAGTCCCTTAAATCTATTTCTCACTTCCACTGTATAGTCATAAGGGATTTGATTTAGGCAAAATGACAGGATACTGAAAGAGGAACTCCCCAGGTCGGTAAGTGCCCAATATGCTACTGGAGATACATCTTAGGCACTGCTAACACCACAGAGATGGAACTATCACATTAGAAAAGGGATTGTCCTGGGTGAATAATAGGATTAGTGACACCAAGTGTGAAAGTTAAATTGTAGGGTGTTCCCTACTGGTTTAGTGGCTAAGATGCTGCCCTCTCAATGCAGGGGCCCCAGGTTTAACACCTGGTCAGGAAACTAGTTCCCACATGCCGCAACTAAGACCTGGCACAGTCAAATAAATAAATAATTTTTTTAAAGGTTAAAGTGTATACAAACAGAATGGAAAGTAGACAGAGAGCACTGGTCCCTGCAAATGTGTAGGTTTTTAAGGAATTTAACACCAACTTCCACCACCATTCCCACCACTACCGTGTGCTCAGCTGATGCATAAGAATGCAAGACACACAGAAGACCAATCTCTCATAAGCTCAAATTCCACTTTAATGTTTTAAATGGAAATTTCTAGTGGCTGGTAAAAATAACTTACCTCCAAATACTACAGGGGATTCAAACTTTATGGCCTAAGAATCCAGAATGCATCACAAGAAAGCTTTGTTGGTACAAATATTTCCAGAGGGTTGTTACCTTGAAAGAGATGTAATTCAGCAAATGTTTAGACGCTACCAAAAAACAAGGAATTTCAATAACTCTTGAAAATAGAATCCAATTCATATAGTCTCTCAATAAAATGTTCATTATTCACGCCCAGAAGGGCTTCACTAAAAGTAAGCGATTCCATTTTCCCAATCCTAATTCACAACATGAGCTTCCTACCCAAAATTTAAATAAAGACCTCCTTTTTACAGTTCTAGGCAGTTCTTCCACACTTCTTTCAAAAACAGGGCAACTTAAAAGCAACCAGCATCAGTGGCCTCCAGTGGCCACCACCTCCCAAACAAAAGTCAAGGCAAGTCTAGACTATGATCTGCATGTTTTCTATTTGAAGTTCTAAACAACCAGAAGCAAGGGGTAAAAAATAAAGGTCAAAATTAATGACATAACAAAACTTTCCTGTAGCTGATCACTGCAAGGTAATGAGAGTAACAAAAGGAAGAGTCCGGGTTTATGTTAATGGCCTCCAGGCAAAGACCACCAGAAATACACACAGTGGGTTGACTCCTCACTGCAACGAGGGAGATACACAAATGAAGAGCCATGGAGTGTCTCGGCAAAGGACTTACGATGGGATTCAGGCTTGTGTTCGATGATTTGAGAGAAGATTCAAGGAGGTAGGTGAAGAATCCAAGAGTCATCTACGTTTCCCCAGAGAGTGTTTGGCACTTTTGTGTTTGGACAATATTCATGCTTCTGTCAGGTGCTCCATCATGGTTACAGACTTACAGACTGATCTTGCTTTTCTCCTTATTCATGGTGGTCACATAGTGGCCCTGTTGGGTGTTGATGTGAAATTGTTCATGTTCGGCAAACAAACACCGTAGCCTTACTGTGAGTGTCAGGCCGGCTCCTAGCAACATCAAGGCCTCCCTGACAGCGCAAAGTCTCTTCCCAGCTGTCACTTTACTCAGTTGCATAGAGATATAAACCAAGGAATGTAACCTAATCTAGGAGATCATGGATGGCCACCCTGAGGAAGTGACATTTAAACTAAAGTTTAAAAGCTAAAAGATCTTCTGTTAGCACAGCATAGAGTTCATTTTAGTTGTTTCTTCTGTTTCCTTTCCCTCACCAACACTATTATTTTTCTATAAGTGAATTAGGCCTAGAAATAAGTCAAAGCTGGCTTTTCACACCATTCCCAATATTCTCTAATGTGAGAACATCCCTGGCAGTGGAGTTTCTATGGGTAGTATCTGTTAAAAAATCTTGTGAGAAAATAATAATAGTAATGATAATAATAATGGTATGTTTAATTTAAAGGGTAATGTAAATGATAAATAATGCATATAAAATGAAAACAAACATGCCTAAAGACATTCCAAGATTACTGGAAGGGAAATAAAATAATGTTTCCTTTCAAAATTGCATTTCTAACGTAGTGTGGGATATTAAAGAAAGATTTTGTCTTCAAAGTTAGTGAGCTGAGTTTGAGTGGTACCTGAAGTAAAGTGAGAAAAGGAAAGACCCTTTTTTTTCTTATTTTAAATCTTTTTGGTAACAAACAAGAAATAAGTTCTTTCTGCTTCAAGAATTAAGGAACTCTTAAAATAGTCACCTGATGAAAGCCTTTAAACTCTCATGGAATTCCAAATCTTCAAAAGGCTTTAGGAGTTTAGAGAAGGCAAAAAGCCTTGCATTAATGGGCAGAACAGGCCACTTGCTATTAGGTTGAACAGTAAATGAGTTAAATAAGATCCTTCTGGAATGGATCATGCTTGAAAAAACAACTTACAGGGATCCTACTGGTCACACAAGAACTTGTGAAACAGAAAAGCATACAACCAGAGGACAGTTGGGTGATGGGGATGGCAGCTACCCCAGAGCCTCAAAGAACCCTTTGTTAGGAACGCATCATTCTAGTGAAGCAGTTCCACCACCGGTGGGAGGCTACCGCCAAGAATTCCCCCAGGTCTGATGGATGGCAGCAAAAGCGCAGAAGAAGCTGCTCAGAAAACTGGCTCTAAGGGTAACGCTGCATGTTCTTCAGCCATATGTATGGATCTGGGTTTGTCAAATTAGTTGCACCATGTACATCTCTACCATAACGCTCAGTGGAGATGATAATGGAAATGTAAGGCCTGAGCCACAGTCAGGAGATGGAGGATTTGTGGAAGTAATTTCCTTACTAAAGAATGACCCGCTGAAGAGACGGGATGCTCTGGTAGCTGAAGGGTATCTGAGAGTAGATGCCAGAGCCTATTTCTGTGTTCAGGTCACTAAAACATGCACACGTGAGGCCTTTGAAGGGCTTTTCCTGAAGCTGGAATGGCGGAGGACAGTAGCCACATTTTTGCACACAGAACCACCAGGCCTCCTTCACTAAGACTTTGTATCGGCTTAGTTTTCAGGGAGATTTGAAATTAGCTTTTTCATAAAATAAAAGCATTATAAATAAATAAATATAAAGTCCTTTTGTAACCTGGCAAAAGAGAAGCATTCCTGTGAGAATTGGTGTTCATTTCCCCCCTGGGAAGACTGTGCTCATGTGCTCAGCTAGGCCCAACTCTTGTGTGAGTCCATAGGCTATAGCCTGCCCGGCTCCTCAGTCCAGGAGTTTTTTCCACTGCTTTCCTACTCCAGGGAATCTTCCCAACCCAAGGATCGAACCTGCATCTCTGGAGTCCCCTGCACTGCAGGCTCTGCGCTACTGGGAAAGACCAGTGGGAAGACTGTCTCTTGGTCTTAACTCCTGAGAGCCCATGAAGGAGGATCTGGACGATTATACACTGAGCAGTCTGGGATACCTGACTCCTTATGGGCTGGGTATTTCAATTCCCAGTGGCATGTTTATTTTAAATATTTAGTTCTGAGGCTAAACCATGATAGTAGGAAAACATGGTAGATTGACTTTTTTGTGTATTTTTCTGGCTATCAAGTGATAATGCATTAACAATCATAAACAAAAAGTCATTATTGGTGTTTTAATTATAAAGTCAGATTTAATTTCAACAAATACTTATAATGGCCCTCTCTGTCGTCAAAAATTTTACTGGGTGATTTTACCTCACTGCCCTGCAACAGTGTGGTAGAATCAGTATTAGTATGCTTGGTTTTTTAAAAAACAGTTAATACTGAACCATATTCTTCTACATATGACATTTAGTAAAGCAAAACCCTGCTGATGGTGAGAAGTCCAGTATATTAAATAGCACAGGAATTTCAAATCTGACCAAGAGACGAACTTCAGTGTACATTTAGTGCAGATTCATAAGGGAAGTGTAAGTCACTCAGTTGCATCCGACTCTTTGCGACTCCATATGATCCATGGAATTCTCCAGGCCAGAATACTGGAGTGGGTAGTGTTTCCCTTCTCCAGGGGATCTTCCCAACCCAGGGATCAATCCCAGGTCTCCCACATTGCAGGCAGATTCTTTACCAGCTGAGCCACAAGGAAAGCAGATTCAGACACAATGCAAATTCATTCTGAGATCTGAGCATGTAAGCCACTGTAGAGGTACAGAGTCTGGAAGGCACTTTGAATGCAAATCAAAATCATATGCACTCATAAAAACGTCTATATAATTACAGGGTACCCAATCCAGCGCACAGCATCTGAGAACTAGTCTGAGAGTGTAAGAGCTAATTAAACTCCAGGATGTAAAAGGGCACCTAAGTACCTGGAATCCAATTCCTTCCCACTACAATATGCACTAGTGGGTGTCTAGAAGTTAAAACACTCTTAGATTTCACATTTCTTTTATACCTCCAAATATTTGCCAACATATCTTATTCACTCAGACATATTTTAGAAACTTGTAAATGCTACTAATTAAACATGATACAAGCAAGTTGAAAGAGCAGCCTCAGGAGCAGAGGGGCAAGAGAAATTGGCTGACAAGGATGTCACACTGAGTCGGGACCCGCTGAAGCTTCTGTTTTGTTTCCACTGCTCTAGTTTGCATATTTAAAAGTGAATTTGCTCAGACCTTCAAAATAATTATTTTTCTTTACGTTAAAAGAAAAAAATATCTAGACATTCATTCTAGACTGTTTTATTGCAATGTGTAAGCTAATGCTATGTCAAATACCATGAGTGGCTATCTGATGTACCAAACATAAATAAAAAGGGAAGCGGGCTCAAGACTCTCACCCAGTTTGGAAAACAGAGGAACACGACGGTAACCTGCAAAATGAATCACATCTGATTAACACAATAAAAATACATTCAGCATCAGGGGCCCCAGTAGAGCTCCTGAGAAATAACATACTTTGTTTGTTGTTCAGTTGCTAACTCGTGTCTGACTCTTTGCAACCCCATGGACTATACAGCATGCCAGGCTCCTGTGTCCACCAATATCTCCTGGAGTTTGCTCAAATTCATGTCCATGCGTTGGGCTACAGGGATGCCCAGAGTATTTTCCACTGCTACCATGTTAACTGTAAAAATGCACTGCATTCTCCTGAATCTCACACTTGGGGTAGATATAAATTGACTGTGTCATGTCAAGTCTTGTGCTATCTATTGTTGTGCCAGAAATTCATGTCCATTGAGTTGGTGATGCTATCTAACCATCTCATCCTCCGCATCCCCCTTCTACTTTTGCCTTCAATCTTTCCCAGCAAGAAATAATAAAGCACATATAAAAACTAGGACTATGCAGCTATATTCCATCATGTATATTCATTTTCCTCCAAAGTAAAATATTTGAAATTTCTACCCCAACTTCATACTAAGCACCACACAGCTCATACTTTCCCCACCCTGAAAATGCAGCATCTCCAAAATTAGCCATCACCCTTCTGCTTCAGAAAGGCTGTTTCCTAGGTACATCTCAGATGGTACTAGAAAAGTAAATATAAGGATAAACTTGGGAGCACACTGTAAATCACCCCAGAGAGGTGACTGCAAGGCAGCTCTGAAAAGAGTCAAGATAAGAGTCTTGGGCTCCCTGTCTCTTCTCAGGTGGAAAAAAAGGGTCACTGCTTCTCCCTTCTGAATGGTTCCCCTCCTTCATTCCTTCATGGTGGTCATGCCTACTCTTAACTGAAACAAAAGAGCTATAATCCACACAAAGAAATTTTCATATAAGTCATTTGTCTAATTAGTCTTCCTAGTATTCCCAGTCCCCAATCCCACCTTCTGTATCAGAACATACTTCTATAATTCCACTAGGAAGAACTATATCTATATATATATAGATATAACTATATATATATATTTTATATATATATAACAATTATATAGGAAGACCTATATCTATCTATATATATAGATATAACTATATATATTATATATATAACAATTATATATATATGTATAACTATATATATATATTTTCCTTTACATATCTGACTGTCATGAAGAAAGCTATTTGGTATATCAAAGAGTCTCTTTGTTAAACTCAAATTATATATACTAGCACAGTCATCTTACTTTTCAGAATATTACCTCTGTTCATGCATAGAACTGGTAAAGTATATTGTCCAAGAAATTCATTTCCAGCTATGAAACCCTGATTTTCAGCAACAAAACGAATCAATGCTAATTCTGGCACCTGAATAACAAATGTGAATGTTTCATTCCATCTTGGATTAAAAGCTGAAATATAAAGGAAGAAATAGAATTTAAAAAAAGTCAAACACTGTTCCTAGGGGAAAATGCTTAATACCTGTTCTCTAAAAATTCTTATTTTTAAAACTTTAATAGTAATAATGAAAGCTGATGGTTTAGAGGAATTAAATCTTTAATGCATCCAATGAGAAAAAAATAATAATGGCAATAATAATATTTATTAGGTGTTTCCAAGTGCTGGGCAATATTCTAAAAACTTTAAGGAGATGATCTCACTTAATCCTCACACCAGGGTTATCTCTATCCACATTTACAGATGGGAAACTGAGTCACAAAGATGTTTCATAACCTTCAAAAAATAACCATTTTTGTGTGTGAATGAAATAGCTTTCAAGAAATAGCCATTAAGTAGTGGGGCAGGACATCAAATAAATGGTGTCTGATTTCACAACAGAAACATGTAACTGTTATACAATATGACTGTTGTGTTCAAGCATTTTATCAGCAAAGAACTTGAGACAACAGGAAGTTATATAACAGCATTTTTCTAGATCAGGACATATTATGGGAAGAGTTCTACAGACAATGGTTGGACTGAGAGCTCACTAATGTTTGCTCTAAAGTCAGCGCTTGATCCTTCTTTTGATTAAATGCTTATTTTCAAATCCAAAATTGATGAGTAATCTATGTCCCTAGCAAAACAGATCATCCCAAATGAGTATCCTGCCAAACAAGAAATCCAAATTACATCACAATGTGACCCAAATCAGATAAAAATTAAGCACAATTGAATGGAACCAAGAAATTCTCATCCAGATCAAATAAATGCTCTTACTTTAATTAAAAAAAGTTCAGGGAAAAACAATACATTGTTTTTCATATACAAAGGCAATGCTACACCTACGACCTCAATAGATTTGTCCTTTGTATCATGTTTCAGCACATATTAAAGCATCTGTGACTAATTATACCATATCTATGCTTTCTATAGTGTATCTGTGGTCACAAGTGCACATTTACTAGGTAGGAATTCAGAATGCAGTCAATGATAGTGAAAATATTAAACGAATTGACTCACATTGAAATAATGACCATCTTACCTTGTCCTAATAGAGAAATAATTCAGTGAAGTACAGGAAACAGGTTTAAGGGTGAAATCTCTATAGACACTGCAAAATGTCTGCACAAAATTCTTATACTAACTTATTCTCTGTCTTCTAACCCTGCTTGACCATACTCTCTCTTTCATACATACACAAAATCATACATATACATATGTGAAAGTCCTTTCAGTTGTCAAAAGTGAAAAAGAAAAAAAAAACTAATTTGATAGTTACAAATATAGTTAAAAATCACGGGACTTCCCTGGTGGTCCAGTGGTTAAGAATCCACCTTGTAATACAGGAGACCCAGGTTCAATCCCTGTTCAGGGAACTAAGATCCCACATGCTTTGCAACAGCAAAGCCTACCCACCACAACTAGAAAGACCAAGTGCTACAGCTAGTGAAGCCGGTACATCCCAGAGCCGGCGCCATGACTACAGAGGAAAGATCCCACATGGCGCAATGAGGCTACGCCATGCTGCAACTAACGCCTGATGCAACCAAATGAAAAAATATTTCTTAAAAATCACTTCCTTATTGTACGCAAACATGATTGCTTTCCTCCCAGACTCTCGTGTCTTTCAGTACACTACCATCACCCTAGTAGCTAAGCGATCTCAGCACCCTTCTTGCCCGGCTATCGACACTTTCAGTCCTGCCGGTCTTCCTCACGTGCATCCTCCATTCCTTTTCTGATGGTGCAGCCCTTCTTTAAGACTTGACTTCTGCATCGTATCACTGTGAAACCACATCCTGACTCTCTCCTGTATTTCTCATCTCTCTCTCTCACACTTCTTCCTCTCTACTCTGTAGAAATGATCTCTGCTAACACTCAGTGCTTTATATCCCTGCTTAAAAGTTCTAATTTTATTCATTTTATACAGAAAAGAAAGTTTCTAATACTGTGTCACAGCTTTCACGATTTTCCATAGACATCCCCAAAGTAAATCTCTCATTTTATTTCACAACTAATCTTTCTTAAGTATACTGTACTTGAACTTCTGTACTTGGTGCTAACATGTTTGAATTTTGTTTTCTCCATGTTTTAGCACACATATTATTACTTCTGCCTTAAATTCCCTTATCCTAGGGAATTCCCTAGAGAAACAGTGGTTAGGATTCAGCACTTTCTCTGCCATCACCTAGGTTCAATCCCTGGTCAGAGAACTAAGATCCCACAAGTCTCAAAGAGTGGCCAAAAATGGAGAAAAAAGAAAGAAAGAAAATTCCCTTATCCTCAATCTCTATAAAAAAAATTCTACTCATTTGCCAAGAACAATCTTCAAATTTGCCCCTTCCATACAATTCTTTGTACTTTCTTTAAAGCACAAATGACTGTTTCATAACTATTTCACTTACATCTCGTATTCCATACTGAACCATAAACGATCTATAATAGAATTAGTTGGGGCATACATAAGAATGCAGTTAATAGAGGAGTTAAGTTTTCTGATACTTAGAATCAGGCTTTTACCACGATAGGCTCAGTAGTGTCTGGTGAACCAAACTGAATTTTTGTAGGTATATTCCCATAAAACCAGGGATGCAATCAAATTTCTAATGGGAGCTAAAACCATACTATTACATAGTATTACATAAGGGGTGCATGGAATAAATTAATGTTCTGTGCATTTAGTCATGAAGACGCAAGTAAGGGGGATGGAGAAAACAAGGGATAGATTACTAGAAGCCTCTTGATATTAGCAGTTGCCATTTCTTGACACTGCCATTTCAACTCTAAGGGGAGCCAAATAAGTTACTACTAGTATCCCTTCCCGATGATAACACGGGATGAGGTAATAAAACTTTCCAAATCTTTTTTCTCTCCTCTGTTCCTAGGGGCTGAAGTGGAGGAATATTTGGGGTTTGGAAGGAGGCAAACATTGGATTTTTTGAGGGAATTATCACCAAAGAAGAAAAAGATAGCTCAAACTGCACCTGCTTCTCTGTCCATGCCATTCAACCTAGAGCAGATTTCTAGACTCTGAAATGAAGTCCACTATACTTTGAGAATATTCACTCAAAGAAGATTCTACTCTCAAAGGATCAGCTGCAAGTTCTCTTCCTGAGTTATTCTGACTATCTGACTAACAGTCAACCCCAAGAATCTATACTTTTCTAATGCTCTTAATGATTTCAACTTCAGAGAATAAATAGCAGTGTTAGTACTGTATTATGTAAACTGTCATGAGGTGTTGGCACATTCAAAATCTCACCACAGTCACTTCTTTCATTCCTACATTTCCCTTCTGGCGAAAATGACTGAATTATGAATCCAAATACTGTTATGAGTAGGTTTCTACGGCATACTGAGTCAGAAGCCACAGACCTTTGATCTAAAATAATTCAAACTGTCAAGTAAAACTATGTAGCACACTATATCAGAGAAATCTTAAGCTCTTTACACAGAAGCTAACAGCTAGATAGATAGATTTGTGGCCGTCAAAATATCTCTCTTAATCAGTCAAAGAAGAAAACACAAAGAGGAAGTAAAAATGGAAAAAAACTACTTCTTCAGGTCAGATACATTTTTGTATCTGTAACTGAAACTATATCTAACCAACATTAAATCACTATCAAATTGTTTTTGCTGCATATAATACTTTGATCATCTTGAACATAATGCAAAAGCTTTGCCTTATGAAAAATAAATATGTATCAAAACTCTATCAATACATAATTTTTAAGCTTTCCAATATGAAATCTAATAGACTGATCAATAAAATATATTAGGAGCTCACCATTTTTTTTAATTACACGACTCTGTTGCTTCATTTGATCATTTGGAACCCCAAAAATTTCTACAATCACTAGGGTATCAGCTTTGTTTTGATAACTGGGAGGCAACTGGATACCACTGATAAGCTGCACAAAAATCAGTAAATTCAAGAATTCAGCAGAACAAACTGTATCACAGTTTACTTTCAAAATAAAATGTTTTCCAAAAATTATGATGAAATAAGTCAAGTCCCACCAAAAAACTGAACATAGAAAACAGTGCAAATCTTAAATTTTAGTCCTTCCTGAGTTAAATTTCAACTTAACTATCAAAAGAAGATTACCAAATTATTCCATTTGACCCAGATGTGATTATAGTAGAATCCACATTCTCCAATATTTATGGTCGAACATATATTTTTATTCTGACAGCATTTGTTATGATTGTTATAAAGCAATGTTTAAAAATATTATGACTCTCCTTCTGCTATAATACAGACTGAGTACTCTGATAACTTGAACTATTTTCAAATCTATATAGTCTAAAAACAACAGAAAAAATGGAAACTATAAATATTACTTCTGAAATGTACAAAAAATCACCACATAATTTCCTATGATAGCATTTTCTGACAGTATAATAATTTATATGTTTGGATAAATTATCATGAATTTTTAACTTACCCATTGTTGCCTATATTATCATAAGTCACCTGAGTTTGAAATATCAATTATTTCATATATGCATATCTTAGGGATTGAATAGCAGAAAAGTGTTTAACAAAGTAATTAATAATAATTTTACTTCACCTTCTATTATTCAAGCTAACTGTTTTAAGTACAGATTTGTTTTATTTTTTGTTTCCATTTATTTTTATTAACTGGAGGCTAATTACTTTACATCATTGCAGTGGTTCTTGTCATACATTGAAATGAATTAGCCATGGATTTACATGTATTCCCCATCTCGGTTCCCCCCCCCCCACCTCCCTCTCCACCCGATTCCTCTGGGTCTTCCCAGTTTTAAGTACAGATTTGTTTTAATTTAAGGAAAAAAGAAATAATGTTGTTAAAGTGCTGCACTCAATATGCCAGAAAATCTGGAAAACTCAGCAGAGGCCACAGGATTGGAAAAGGTCAGTTTTCATTTCAATCCCAAAGAAAGGCAATGCCAAAGAATGCTCAAACTACCACACAATTGCACTCATCTCACACGCCAGTAAAGTAATGTGCAAAATTCTCCAAGTCAGGCTTCAACAATACATGAAACATGAACTTCTGGATGTTCAAGCTGGTTTTAGAAAAGGCAGAAGAACTGGAGATCAAATTGACAACATCCACTGAATCATCGAAAAAGCAAGAGAGTTCCAGAAAAATATCTACTTCTCCTTTATTGACTATGCCAAAGCCTTTGACTGTGTGGATCACAATAAACTGTGGAAAATTCTGAAAGAGATGGGAATACCAGACCACCTGACCTGCCTCTTGAGAAACCTGCATGCAGATCAGAAAGCAACAGTTAGAACTGGACATGGAACAACAGACTGTTTCCAAATAGGGAAAGGAGTACATCAAGGCTATATATTGTCACCCTGCTTATTTAACTTTTATGCAGAGTACATCATGAGAAATGCTGGACTGGATGAAGCACAAGCTGGAATCAAGATTGCCAGGAGAAATATCAGTAACCTCAGATATGCAGATGACACCACCCTTATGGCAGAAAGCGAAAAAGAACTAAAGAGCCTCTTGATGAAAGTGAAAGAGGTGAGTGAAAAAGTTGGCTTAAGACTCAACATTCAGAAAACGAAGATCACGGCATCTGGTCCCATCATTTCATGGCAAATAGATGGGGAAACAGTGAGAGACTTTATTTTCTTGGGCTCCGGAATCACTGCAGATGGTGTCTGTAGCCATGAAATTAAAAGACATTTGGTCCTGGGAAGAAAAGCTCTGACCAACCTAGAGAGCATATTAAAAAGCAGAGACATTACTTTGCCAACAAAGTTGCATCTAAACAAAGCTATGGTTTTTCCAGAAGTCATGTATGGATGTGAGAGTTGGACTATAAAGAAAGCTGAGCACCAAAGAATTGATGCTTTTGAACTGTGGTGTTGGAGAAGACTCTTGAGAGTCCCTTGGACAGCAAGGAGATCCAACCAGTCCATCTTAAAGGAAATCAGTCCTGAATATTCATTGGAAGGACTGGTGCTAAAGCTGAAACTCCAATACTTTGGCCACCTATTGTGAAGAACTGACTGATTGGACATGGGTTTGGGTAGACTCCGGGAGTTCGTGATGGACAGGGAGGCCTTGTGTGCTACAGTCCATGGGGTCGCAAATAGCTGGACACAATTGAGCAACTGAACTGAACCAAAGGAACAAAGTCTAAAAAAGAACAGCATTTGAAGTGTACTAATTTATAAAGTGTGAAAGTGAAAGTCGCTCAGTCCTGTCCAACTCTTTGGGACCCCATGGACTATATGGTCCATGGAATTCTCTAAGCCAGAATACTGGAGTGGGTAGCCTTTCCCTTCTCCAGGGGATCTTCCCAACCCAGGGATCGAATCCAGGTCTCTCACATTGCTGGTGGATTCTTTACCAGCTGAGTCACAAGGGAAGCCCAAGAATACTGGAATGGATAGCCTATCCCTTCTCCAGCCAATCTTCCCAACCCAGAAATCAAAGCAGGGTCACCTGCATTGCCAGGGGATTCTTTACCAACTGAGTTATCACTAATGTAGAAATTGAGACATGATTTCAATTTCTGAAGATTATAATAAAGAGGAACAAATAAATAACTGTTTGAATAAAGGGAAAAATGAAAGAAAGAAAAAGAATTAGGCCATATCCAATAAAAGTTTATGAAAAATAAAAAAGGAGGGAAGAGAAAAGAAAAAAAGTGCCAATGTGTAATTTTTCCTTTCCTACATCCACACATTATAGCACCAACTAGAAACCAGAGTGACTGCACAAATATTTAATGATCAGCATGGAATTGGCCCAGCAACCCACTATAGTATTCTTGCTTGGAGAATTCCATGGACAGAGGAGCCTAATGTGTTACAGTCCATGGGGTCCCAAAGAGTCACACATGACAGTGACTTAACACCCATGCAAGACTATCAGCCCTCTGGACAATAAATCCTTTTCATTATGGTGTAACTCATGACAAAAAAAAAAAAATGCTAAGTAATAATGATAATTGAATATGAGCACTGAAATAAAATTTAGAGATTTATTTTTCAAATTATTTATACACTCCAATTCACAAAGCCCTTTCAGGGGCCACTGCAGAGGATGGATGTCAAGCAGACGACCCTTAGTGGTCAACCAGATAGCTCTTGCTTTCATCTGGTGGTCTTACTCAGGAGATTTTAAACTTAGGAAATGATTCCATAGTTTTTATAAGCTTTAAAATAACCAATTTAATCCAAAGTTCTCTGTTTACAGATGACAAAGAGTAAACCAGAAATGCTGAATGACTTTATCAAGGACCTAAGAAAAATCATGGCAAAACTGGGTCTTCTGATTCTCAAATCATGCTCTCCACAATTTGTGCAAGTAATCACAAAGCTCCCTAGAACAATCAGAAGAAGAGGGCAAGACCCACGTGGCTATGAGAACAGCTTCCTAGGAAAATCATTAACCCTACCTCTTTCACATCATGTCACTTAAGCCCCTTTTGGAGTATAAATAGGTGATATTTATAAACATCTGTGCATACCAGCTAATTTCCAGGTTTGCTTTTTCAAATTAACCTACATGTACTAAGCAAATACTTTGTGTCAGTTACTGAGAAGAAGGATTGAACAAAACATAGTCCTTATTTTTCAAGGACCCTCAGACAAGTGGGGGGAGAAAGACAAGTATAACAAGCAAATAATTATAACTTAGGGTGTGGTAAGTGCCGTAACGCATGCATGTGTAGGGTTTTATGAGCTTCCCTCGTGGCTCAGTGATAAAGAATCTGCCTACCAATGCAGGAAATGTGGGTTCGAGTCCTTGGCCAGGAAGACCTCCCAGAAAAGGAAATGGCAACCCACTCCAATATTATTACCTGGGAAATTCCATGGAGAGAGGAGCCTGGTCGGCTACAGTCCACTGAATTGCCAAAGAGTTGGGCACAACTGAGTGACTAAAGAACATAGCGTGTCATGGAACAACAGAAGAAAACTTCAAAAGGAATGCAACTCAGCACAGGAAAAGGTTTCCAAAACGAAGTGACTCTGAAAGTCTTGAAAATAATGAGTCAGAATGCAACAAGCAGATGAAGAATGGAAGAGTAGTCCAGTCAAAGGAAATAGCATATGCAGTTCCTAGAGGTGCCATTGTGGACAAAAAAAAAGGCTTCCATATGGTTTTAGAATGGGTTAAAGGCTGGAAGTGGTGGGAGATGAGGCTAGAGGAGTGGGACAAAGCCAGACTAAGAAAACAATCTGGAGAAACAAATAAATATTAAGTAGACATGATCAGATTAGCCTCAGCAAAATCTCTCTTGTTGACTTGTAGAAGATGATCAGGATGACTGAGACAGGCTACCTAAAAACCCCTTAGGAAGCCAAAGGAACAGAGGTGATATCAGATAACAAATTCTTTTAAAAAAAGGACAGCAGCAAATGACATCAGATCAAGGGAATGAATAAGAAACACAGTTAAAGTAAGATCTACAGAAGTTAGAGATTGATAAGACATGGGATGTGAAGGAGATGTGGAAGAGAAGAATAGCTCCCAATTTTATGGCCCGGGTCAACTGAATAAATGAATTTGACTCAGTTCACTGAGATTTAAATAAAATAGAAGCAATTTAACTAGGAAGGGATGTTTAGCTTTAATATTTTAAGCCTGACAGAACACTGGTAGGGATGCTAGGTGGGCTATTAAAAATAAGCCTTCAGAGTCAAAAAATGAAGTCAGATTAGCAATGTGAGCATGTTTGTGTTTGAAACCATGAAAGTGTATAAAAGAATACAAAGAGAATGTTTAGTTGAGATGAGGATTGAGAAAAAGCCTTAGGCAACATGAATATTTTAGGGTCACGTAGGGGCTACCCTGGAGAAGAGAATGGCTACGCACTCTAGTACTCTTGCCTGGAGAATCCCATAGACAGAAGAGCCTGGCAGGCTCCAGTGCATGGGGTCGCAAAGAGTTAGACACGACTGAGCGACTAAGCAAGCAGGGGCTTCCCGGGTGTCTCAGTAGTAAAGAAAGTGAAAGTGAAGTCGCTCAGTCGTGTCCGACTCTTCGTGAACCCATGGACTGTAGCCTACCAGGCTCCTCCCTTCATGGGATTTTCCAGGCAAGGGTACTGGAGTGGGTTGCCATTTCCTTCTCCAAGTAGTAAAGAAAACACCTGTCAAATCAGGGGATGTGGGTGCAATCCCTGGGTTGGGAAGATGCCCTGGAGAAGGTAATGGAAACCTGCCCAAGTATTCTTGTCTGGGAAATCTGATGGACACATAAGCCTGGTGGGCTACAGTCCATGAGACTGCAAAACAGTTAGACATGATTTAGTGACTAAATAACAACAAAAGAGGAACACACAAATGAAAGTGGGAAAGAATTGCTTGGAGGTAGATTGAAAAAGGAAAGAGGAAACACACAGAAGCACATCAATGAGATGTGTGTGGATTAGGAAGGGGTCTGAAAAAGTTCCTGTTTCATCCCAGCTAATCTCTAGAACAACTAGACATGTTCTTCTAATTAGAACAATGCAGCTTTTTGAATTTTTTCATTCATGCAAAAAGGCAACAAAAAGATATGGCAAGATGCTGCAATACCACCCACCTACAGTACCTGAAAAGATTAACAGAAATTTAAAAGGTATTAAGGAAAATCAATGGAACTAAAAATATTAATGGGTACTATCTAGCTTATATCATAACTGAAAAAAAGGTAAAAGTAATCTTACCCTTATTGTAAGTGTGAGTGGATTGCCGTCTATTGGTACTTTATGTGGATTAAACTTTGTTTTTTTATCTCTTAGGAAGCGTGGTTTTAAAACATATCCAGAACAACCATTATCCAAAAATTTCCCATTTTGAAGATCCATAGGGAGACCAGGGGTCTGGAAATTTAAGGCCACTGTAAGGGAAAAGAGTACTTTGACTTTGTCAGGAAATGAGGGAATATCTAAAGAAACATAGTTAAACAGTTGAGTGAAACCTAATCATGGATTATATATCTTTGAACATTTAACAGCAAGTGTTCACCAAATGACTCATGATGTGTAAACATTTGCTGTTGCCATGTCTACATTAACAGATGAAGGTGAGTTTCAAAACTTAACCTGTAAATTATTCTACAGCTTTTGAGTTAAAAAGCCAAACTGGCACATAGCACAGATTATAGAATAGCAATGTACATGTCAGATAACATTCAGGAAATATGAGAATAAAGAAAATCACTACATTAAATGCTGGAAGGGTTGACACCAATGTATCATAAACTTTCAAGTCTAAAGGGGTACTGTTATCACTTGAGGAGAAAGCGAGGAACAGGCAGAGCGATAATTGCTGTTAAAATATACAGACAACTTCATATAGCCTGGTAAACAGATACCGGTGGTATTCAGTACCACCATCTGCCCCCCACTGCCCACCCCACCATCCTGGTCCCAACTGTTCCCTCTCTACAAACCTATGGGCCTTGCCACAGTTCAGTAACAGAAGAGTTAACACTTGCCACTTTCTAACTGGTTAGTCCCAGAGGCATACCAGTTGATCAGTTTGGAATAAGGAGTGTCTGACAAGGATAAATAACAGAGCTCATTACTCATTTTTCAGTAAGTGATTAAAATACAAAAAGCACAGGTCACTTGATTTGAAGAGGCCCTTATCAAATCTTTCATGCAAAGCACCTGATCTTCAGGTGTCCTCTTACGTTCATTTTCAGTTTCCTTTTCCCCTTCCGACACTTCCCATGCAAACTCTTCATGAATTTAACCTCCATGTCTATACCCTTACCTAGATTTATCCTATGCAACCCATTTAAGAATAAACTCAACTCTGGAAGTCAGTGATTCATCATTGCTTGACTCCAAAACATCCAGGGTCAAAAATTGTTCAAAGGAAGCTCTTTTCATGAATATTTTATTAGTTCACAAAATGAACTTATTTTGCCTTATTTTTGCAAAAAAAAAAAAAACCCAAACCTCAATATTCTATATAACATACCCATTTGACAACCTACATTCCAAAATTCTTGAGGATTAAAATTAGAAGAGTCAGCTCTTATTGCTTTGGGATATACTCTGGTAATGAACTTCCTGGTGTGAAGAATAAATTCCCTGGCTGAAAAACAAATTAATTAAAATATTGCAAAATATTTCAAATAAACTACTATGTATATATATTTATTTAATTCTACAATTTTGATGTCTACTGTCTTGGCAAAAGTATTTGCAATTCATGGAAATCAAAATAAATTCATACTTTTGTTTCATGGTGTAATTCAAGTGCTATTGAAAAGTTAATAATAATTTGTTTTACAATTTTATGTAATCATTCACTTGAAGAAAGAAACAACTGAATAACATGTTTCTTTTTCTCACATTCAAGTTAATTTCACTTTGACATAGAGCATATAAAATTCCAAAATAAAATACCATCCATAATGGTAAATGGTGTAAATTAGCTTCGAATCTTAAGTGATTTAAATAGAATAAATAGAAATGTGTAAAAAATATATGTAGACACTTAAAGAATATGTATAGGAATTATAAGGAAACCGAAACAGACTGTACGTATGTGTTTGACCCAGGTGACTCAGTGGTACAGAGTCTGCCTGCCAATGTAAGAGACGCTGGTTCAATCCTTAGATCGGGAAGACCTCCTGGAAGAGGAAATGGCAACCCACTCTAGTGTTCTTGCCTGGGAAATCCCATGGACAGAGGAGGTCATGGGGTCCCATGGGATCACAAAGAGCCCGACACAACTTAGTAACTAAACAAAAACCACCATTGGATACCCCTCAAATTTTTGAACACAGATTTCATATTTCTCCAACATTTTTATTCTTTCACTATGTGGATCCTCTTCCCACATCTATTTAGGTTAATATGGTGACAGTCGTGGAAGAAATGGTTATTGCCTACACCTACTCTATTTGCTAGTCAAGTTTGAGCAGAATCATTGCCACCCTCATCCTAAATGCTATTCTTTTCCTAAGATGCATGGTCAGACAAAAAATTAGTTACTGAAGTTAATAGTAATTATAGTTAATTTAATTAATTCATTTCTAGAGGCCATACTCTCTTTGAGGAAAAGTTCATTTTGAAGCTACTCATGTATAAATGTGTTTTGTGTGTCCAACGGTTATGATTCCTTATATAGTCCTACATTAGATATCTACCTTTTGATAAAACATGGACTCTTCTGGGTCTTAACTTTTTCATCTACAAAGTGATAAATGTGAATGATCACTAAATATCTTTAACCTGATTTTGTTACTTCTGAGACTTAGAAATTAAACATGCTATGTTTTCACAAATGCAATTTATGTCTATTTTAGATAAATGAGAAAATCAAATAGAAAATATAAGAAAACAACATATAATCTCCTCGCTCTATTAATAACCCTGATAACCTCTTGGTACATATATTTCCATTCTTCTGACATAGAATATATACTTATGCTTCAAATGAATCTTATTTTTACTCTGTTTTATAAACTTCCATTTTTGACTTACTAAGATAACATGAAAATCATTCCATTTCAATAATGTTCACCTATGATATTATTTTTAGATAAATGAAAAGCATTCACATATATGAAAACTTGTTTTTGATTTTTCCTTATAATAAAACTAATGATGTTTATTATATTTTAAGAATGATGGACCTCCTTGCAATACATCTTTGACCAATCATTAACTATATACTAGAGTCAGGCATCCTGGAACGCGAACTCGAGTGGGCCTCAGGAATTATCAAACAAAGCTAGTGGAAGTGATGGAATTCCAGTTGAGCTATTTCAAAACCTGAAAGAGGATGCTGTGAAAGTGCTGCACTCAATATGCCAGCAAATCTGGAAAACTCTGCAGTGGCCACAGGACTGGAAAAGGTCGGTTTTCATTCCAATCTCAAAGAAAGGCAATGCCAAAGATTGCTCAAACTACCACACAATTGCACTCATCTCACACACTAGCAAAGTAATGCTCAAAACTCTCCAAGCCAGGCTTCAACAGTATGTGAACCGTGAAACTCCAGATGTTCAAGCTGGATTTAGAAAAGGCAGAGGAACCAGAGATCAAATTGCCAACATCCACTGGATCACTGTAAAAGCAAGAGAATACCAGAAAAACATCTAATTCTGCTTTATTAACTACACCATAGCCTCTGACTGTCTGGATCACAACAAACTGTGGAAAATTCTGAAAGAGATGGCAATACCAGACCACCTTACCTGTCTCCTATGAAATCTATATGCAGGTCAAGAAGCAACAGTTAGAACTAGACATGGAACAACAGACTGATTACAAACTGGGAAAGGAGTAGGTCAAGGCTGTATATTGTCACCCTGCTTATTTAACTTATATGCAGAGTACATCATGAGAAATGCTGGACTGGATGAAGCACAAGCTGGAATCAAGATTGCCAGGAGAAATATCAATAACCTCAGATATGCAGATGACACCACCCTTATGGCAGAAAGCGAAGAACTAAAGAGCCTCTTGATGAAAGTGAAAGAGGAGAGTGAAAAAGTTGGCTTAAAACTCAACATTCAGAAAACGAAGATCATGGCATCGTGTCTCATCACTTCATGGCAAATAGATGGGGAAACAGTGGAAACAGTGAAAGATTTTATTTTATTGGGCTCTAAGATCACTGCAGATGGTGACTGCAACCATGAAATTAAAAGACGTTTCTTCCTTGGAAGAAAAGCTATGACCAACCTAGACAGCATATTAAAAAGCAGAGACATTACTTTGCCAACAAAGGTCCGTCTAGACAAAGCTATAGTTTTTCCAGTAGTCATGTATGGATGTGAGAGTTGGACTATAAAGAAAGCTGAGCGCCAAGAACTGATGCTTTTGAACTGTGGTGTTGGAGAAGACTCTTGAGAGTCCCTTGGACTGCAAGGAGATCCAACCAGTCCATCCTTAAGTAAATCAACTCTGAATATTATTGGAAGGACTGATGCTGAAGCTGAAACTCCAATACTTTGGCCACCTGATGCGAAGAACTGACTCACTGGAAAAGACCCTAATGCAGGGAAAGACTGAAGGCAGGAAGAGAAGGGGACAACAGAGGATGAGATGGTTGGATGGCATCACCAACTTGATGAATATGAGTTTGAGCAAGCTCTGGGAGTTGGTGATGGACAGGGAGGCCTGGTGTGCTGCAGTCCAGGGCAGTCAAAAAGAGTCGGACACGACTGAGTGACTGAACTAAACTGAACTGACTTTTAGTTCAAGAAAAGTGCTCTATACTCTTTCCAAAGAAATGGTGATGGTACCTTTTATGACTCTATGCAGTCCCTTTTCAAATGCTGAGCAAGTGTTTAATATGATGAGAATGAGAGAATTATAACCATTTTTGCTGTGCCCAGAAGTCCCAACCGCATGAACAACAACAAAACAATCCAATAGTTTGAAATGATGGACTGTAGTAAAGTAGGTCAAATTCAAACTCCATTCACAATATTTCACAGTAAAAATATACTTTATATCACAATCCAACACCACACACACACACACACACACTCAACTGTTTTATAAAATAATTCTTATGTTTCCTGCATACAATATATACTCTTCTATACTCTATTATTTAGTTCTATTCCATTCCACTTTATTATATTCCATTTCATTCTATTTTATTCTTTTAACTGCCATGTAGAGCTACTGAATAGATTTTTGGTCACAAACCTCAGTTTACAACAAAAACCAAAAAGTCCTAAAATATCCAGCATGTTTCTAATAGGCATTTTGAGGAAATGAGTTAAAGCATGCCTCAAAACCCTAAAGCACCGGTGGCCAGCCCAATGAGGTTAACCACCATATATACTAGAATCTGCATTTCCAAATAGCCAGGAGCTTTTCTCAAGTTTTTTTTGCAGGTTTGCAGGTGCTGATTTTTCTGCTTCTACATAAGATAGTAGAATGCAGTTTTTAAAAAGGATATGGCAAGTCACCTTATTCTCATTGACTGTGGAGGCCCAGCATAGGCTGCCTCAAAATGTGCCTCAGTGACATATTGATTATTTTGGATTAAAGTTAAGCAATGGCCAGTGCAAGAGGGACACTCTCCCTCTTTTCTTTCTCTTTCAAAACAGTAAATAAATCTCTCATGTGAAAGGTACACTCCCTGTATCCGAAGGCAGGACATCCTTTCCACCAATGATAGGGAATTCAGAGTTGAGAAGCCTATAAAAATAAACCTGGTGCCTTATTTAATTACTACCCCAAGCTCAAATTATTTAGACTCTTCACTAATTTCCTGTCAGTTTCTCATACATTTGTTTCTTTATCTGGAAAGCAAAAAAGCTGCCTACTTCGGTCACTTCTTAGGGTCCCATTTCTATGAATTAAATTTTGTTTCTTTTTCTCCTATCAACATGTCTGGCATCAATTTTATTACTAGTCCAGTCACAAGAACTCAAGAAGGGTAAAAGAGAAAAGATTTCCCCTACCAACAGACCATTCCTTTTTAAGTTGATAATTGCTGTTTAGTCACTAAGTTGTGTCCGACTCTTTTGTGACCCCATGGACTGTAGCCACCAGGAAAGAATTTTCCAGGTTTTTCCAGGAAAGAACTGGATTTTCCAGGAAAGAACTGGAGTGGGTTGCCATTTTCTTCTCCAGGGGATTTTCCTGACCCAGGGATCAAACCTGAGTCTCCTGCTTTTGCAGCTGTATTCTCTACCACTGAGCCACCAAGGAAACTCCAAGTTGATGATGTTCCCCACCATGTAAGTCTGAGAACAAGGCAGAGTCCGCTTCCCATTCTTTTTCCCAGGCCTGACAGTTGTATCTTAGGCTGTACCACATAGAGTAACGCACCTCAGATTTAGAGTCTGGAGACAATGAAAACAAGATTCAGAGACAAATGGCTCCTCTGTAGGTACACAGCCATCAGGCAGCCTGGTCTGGGTACCATTTTTACCTTCTTCTTCATTTTAGAAATGCAGCTTCCACTCTATTTATCTCTACCTCATAGATGCCCACTTCTGCTAGTGGTGAAGAATCCTACCAACACAGGAGACACAAGAGACACAGGTTTGATCCCTGGGTTGGGAAGATCCCATGGAGTAGGATCCCACTCCAGTATTCTTGGCTGTAAAATTCCAAGGAAAGAGGAGCCTGGGAGGCCACAGTCACAAAGAGTCAGACACAACTGAGTGACTCGGCATTCATTCATTCATAGATGTCCACAAACTTCACCCTGGCTTCAATTTCGCTGCCATAAGCCAATCAATCTTAAGGGAAATCAACCCTGAATACTCGCTGGAAGGACTGACGCTGAAGTTGAAGCTCCAGTATTTTGGTCATCTGACGTGAACAGCTGACTCATTGGAAAAGCGCCTGATGCTGAGAAAGATTGAGGGCAGAAGGAGAAGAGGGCACAGAGGATGAGATGGCTGGATGGTATCACCAATGCAGTGGACGTGAATTTGGGTAAACTTCGGGAGATGGTGAGGGGTAGGGAGGCCTGGCATGCTGCAGTCCATGGGGTCTCAAAAGAGTCTGACACAAATGGGTGACTGAACAACAATCCTTTATCATCTCCTCCCTACAGCCAGCATCACTCTTATGCTGCTAACAGAGGCATCTTTCAGAAACATACAAAGGATTATGTAACTCCTGAGATTTCAATCTTCTGCTCACTTACAAAGTTCAAGTTTCTTGTAATTTAGCTTTGCCTACCTCTGCAACCTTGTCACTCACTACTCTCTCATATAAACTGCTCACCAGCCCCTCTCAACAAAGTGTCCATACTGGACATTCTCAAGCAAACTTTCATGACTTAGAGAAGTAAATTAATGGTTCAGTTCTGTGAAATAAAATGTAAAGTGACCTGAGGCACATAACCCTTTTTTAAAATGTTAAATACATTGAAATTGTATTAGAACATAGTTTTATGAATATTGTTGACCAATTTTGACATCTTAAAAGTGAATATAACTTGTTTAAACACTTCATCTATTTGAATTATAAGAATTTACCTGCCAACTTTGTAAGTTTTCGGGCTTGGGACTCCCCAATAGAGTTGCTTTCATTAAATTGTTGATATAAATTTGAATGATGAAAACTTTTGAACTTCTCAACTTTAGTATAAATGACAAGATCAGATAGGGCCATAGATATTTTTATCTTTGTGGTGTAAACAAAAAAAATAATAATAATTTCACAATTTTGCATTAATCATTTGAAAAATTCTTTTTCCAATAAGGAAAATATGCTTTCAAATCAATGATTTTAGTTTTTTCATAAGATTATACCCTCAAAAACTATTTGAATTGGGTCAATGTAAATATGTTCTATGACAATAGCATTTGATGTTACTTACCAGGCAATCTAAACCTAAAATCCCAATTCATGCAGTAAGTACTGAAGATAGCAATTATTTCTATTTCCTTTTCCCAAAGGTCTTAGTCTACTGAATTTTACAAGTTCAGGAATTTTAGACTATTTCCAATGTGATCTAACATTTTGGAATAACTTCTGCTGTATAGTACACTATTGTACACTTTTCCAGCCCAGGATCTATATTCTCTGCACTTCTGTTAGCTTCTTCCAAAGTGTTTTTTTTTTTTTTTTTTTTCGGGAAAACATTGCCCGTCCATGCTCAATCCATGTGCTTAAGTGTCAATCATGTTAAGTGGGCGTGGCTAAGCAGAGTGCATTCCCCTGGCAACAGGAACCAATTTAGGCATGTGCGCATGCTTTGATCACAGCCAGCCTGCTACTGTGATCCAAAAGGAGTTGGCTTGGGCAGCTGAAAAATAGGCAGGACTTTCAGATTTGAATCTGAAAGCATGTAAAACTGAAGCTTTGCAAAGGCTTGCACCCATATCAGGAAAGTGGGGCCAAAGTTGGCAGAAAGAAAATTCTGTGGACTTCGCTTAATACACTTTAACCAATCATTCCTGAAATTAGATTCCCTTTCCTGAATGTTTCATTTCTATGGACCAGCTGAATTAATTCACATTTTATTTAAACCAGCTGAATTAGTTTTGTATTGCTTGCAACCTTGTATACCTTCCTTTGTCATGCTAACTTGTATACTTAAAATACTATATAATATAAACAGTGATTTTTCTTGTCTCTGACAGTAAGCTCTCCTTCAGCGCAGAGACATTATCTTTTATACACTGCACAACGTCTAATATATAAGAAGGCCTAACATTTGTTGGCTGGAGAGAAAAAGAATTTACGAACAGCTAACACGGGGAAAGAGATAACAACTTCTAAAATTTCTTTTCCACTGCTAATTTCTCCCAATAAATTTTAAATGATAAAGTGATTACAAAGTAGGAAAAAGGTGTTTTCCTCCAAAAAGTTTTAAAAATTCTCAACTAACAAAAAAATAAAACAACTTTCCAATCACTTGTAAGATTTTCACAAAACGTTGCCTCACCTTCTTTTTCCTGAAGAGTGGGATTCTGACCACCCGTTTCGACTGTTCTTCCTTTTCCAAATCATCTCGAAAATCACCCACTGGTTCTGGTTCTTTGGCACCACTTCCATCCTCCTCTTGTTCCACCTCCTCCTCTTCTTCATATTCCTCTACCTGCCCATGCATATCAGAACCTCTCCTTTCAAGGGTTTCACGTAAGGTGCCTATTTTCTTGTTTCTAACTAATATTTTGAATTTTAATGCCTACAGAAACAATGTGAAAGAGTTACAGTTATACATGTACAGGTAAATTTATACTTGTCATGGTCATTGAAAAGCCTTTCGTCGTATTTTCAATTTGCCCGCAGTAGTAATATAGGTAGCTCCTTTTTCCATATTCCTAAAAACCGAATAGAAACCGAGGGGTCTAGCTGGTGGCTCAGAGGTAAAGAATCTGCCTGCAATGCAGGAGACCTGGGTTTGAACCCTGGGTCAGGCAGATTCCCTGCAGAAGGGAATGGCAACCCACTCCACTATTCTTACCTGGAGAATCCCATGGACAGAGGAGCCTGCAGGCTGCAGTCCATAGGGCTGCAAAGAGTCAGACATGACTGAGCAACTAACACTACACTAGACTACCCTTTTTATCAAAATGTATTCACCCAAATGCTCATGGGCTATTTCCTAGGAACATTGCAAAGATACACCACTATAATTAAAACTAAGCATTTTTCGTCAATCTCCAGCTCAGTTTCATTGGCCAATATAACAGCAGCAGGCTTTTTCTTAGCCTGAGCTTCTCAGACAAAATATTACCTCTGGTGAAGGTAGTCTGTCTGAAAAATTATCAAGTGTATATGACAGCAAGGCATCCCCAAAAGTAGCGAGCAAACTGTCGGCCATGACTTCTTGTTGGGAAGGGGAGCAGTGATTTTCTAAAGACAGCACCACTGGGTACTCAGATGCCTAAAAAAATTAACCATTACCACAGTTAATAATCAAAACTCCTCAATAACTTTAATGCAATTAAGATGAGTACTTAATTGATTTTAAAACCAACATCTAATGTTCAGTACCTTAGCAAAATAATTATCTATTCTTTAAACTGAAAATACTTTTGAGTCTGACAAAACAGGGAACATTAAATCTGTACATAAAGGTAAATTAGTCCCAGTTGTACTTAAAATATAGGGGAAAAAACTGAAACTCCCAACAGTTTAAATAAATTTGTTAAAACTCCCTATGTTTTAAAATAAATAATAGCATATTCATATAAAGGAATGATAAAGATCTGTCACAAAGGAAGTAGAGCTATATATACTGCTACAGAAATAAGGTATCTATGATATAGTCTTAAGAAGAAAAACAAGCTGCCAAAAAGCAAGATTCTACATTTTTACTTTATAAAGTACATATATATGTTTTGATATTTTTAGGAAAAAGTTTAACACTGATATGTTAGACAAAATGTTAATTTTCTACTTTTTTCTATTTTAAATTCTATAATCAAAATTCACTGCATTATAAATAGAAACAAAGATAAAGATATTTCCAGGCTTTAAATAAGAAAGAATATCTAGTAAGTAAAAGCAACTTTGTGTGTGTGTGTGTGTGTGTGTGTGTGTGTGCATGCGAAGTCACTTCGGTAGTGTCTATTCTTTGTGACCCTGTGAACTGTAGCCCACCAGGCTCCTCTGTCCCTGGAAATCTCTAGGCAAGAATACTGGAGTGGGTTAAAAGTGACTCTACAAAGGTATTTTCCACCACTTTAACTTTTAAATTTGTCACCAAATAGTGAATATCACTCATTTGGATGTCTTATTCAAAATTATTTTCCTTCTTTCCACATATAATTTTCAGGGCACATTTGCCAATTTACAGTAACAAGAAAAGGAATTGCAAGGTCTGCTGAATTATTACAGACCTTTGATAGATATGTCATATGTCATATTGCATATAACATATCATATTAAGTCTGAGCTTATTAATTTCTTATGGCTGCTGTAACAAATTACCAAAATTAGGTTGCATGAAACAACAGATATTTATCTTTTCACAGTTGTGGAGGCCAAGATTTTGAAATCAGTTTCACAGGCTAAAATGAAGATGTCAGCAGGTCCTACGGGAGATCTTCCCTGCCTCTTCCAGCGTCTGGCAGTGGCCACCGCATTTCTTGGCTTGTGGTCGTATCACTCCAGTGTCTGCCCCTCATCTTCGCACTGCCTCTTCCTCTGTTGTGTGTTAAATCTCCCTCTGCCTCCCATGAATAAGGATATGATACCAGCATTTAGGACACATCCAGATAATTCAGGGTGGTGTCTCATCTCAAGATTCTTAACTTATCATGTCTGCAAAGATCCTTTTAACAAATAAAGTAACATTTACAGGTTCCAGGAATTAGAATCTAGTATCTTTGGGGCTCTTATTCAGCCTACACAATGATCTTCTTGCAAATACCCACATATATATATATAGGGCTTTCCTGGTGGCTCAGACAGTAAAGAATCTGCCTGTGGAGACACAAGTTCAATCCCTGGGTCAGGAAGATTCCCTGGAGAAAGGAATGGCAACCCATTCCAGTATTCTTGCCTGGAGAATTCCTTGGACAGAGGAGCCTGCTAGGCCACAGTCCATGGGGTCACAAAGAGTTGGATACAACTGAGCAACTAATACTTTCATTTTCATTTATACATATATAAATAAGTCTAATATCAAGAGAAGAGTGTAAATTTTTTTTCCCAAATATAATAAGTGATTTTGAGTTTAGGAAAAGTGAAGACCTAGCAAATGGATTTCTCAATTAGGCCCTGACTTTACTCACTGGGAAGAGCTCACTGTCATCTGTGGTCTTTGTTCCTTCCTCTGAGAAGATCATCTTGTCTTTATCCTCCTTGGCCATATCTGAAGTGTGAACTGAGGAGTTGGCTTTTCTTAAAGCTAAACAACTTCTGCAGTTCACTTTCTGACTAAGCGTGGTTTTAAGGTTCCCCTAGCAAGACAGACTTAGCTTCTGTTTTTAGCAATCTAATGCCCTCAAAAACCACAATTTCATATACACTTGTTTCTAGTAAGTCACATGTGCTGGAACCTATACTCAAAGTTCTTTCTGGGCCATAGATATCCAGTGTATTTTTATTTCATTGCTCTCTTACCCCCAAGTTAATGGCAACTATATTGAGTAGAAAGTCTAAACTTCAGTCTAATCTTTGCTGCAAAACTGTGTCACTGTGTCCAACTGAGAAGTTTCACTGAGTCTGTTCAAGGCCTTTCTTTTTTCTTCACTCCATCACGTACTCTTTGGAGTCTTAAAAGTTGTAGATGTCTGTCCATCCTTGCAAGGCCTTTGAATTTGCAGACTGTCTCTATTTCCTTTTATTCCCTCATTATCCATCCTGAATGAAGTGGGAGAGTTTGGTACGAAAATATTTGGGAAGAGTATTTCAGATGAAGGGAATAGCAAGTGCAAAGGCTTTGAGATGGGTCTGAAAAGAGGTAAGGAGGTCAAAATGGCCGCATGAACAAGGGAGAGAGGAGGAGCGGACATCAAGGAGGTGATGGTAAACAGGTCATGTAGGGCCTTGGGAGTCATGGTACAGACCTTAACTTTTATTTTGAGTGGAATTAGAAAGCTTGAAAAGGGGAATGCCATGATCGGACTTATCAAAAATTCACTCTGCTATATTAAGATGAAACTTCAGAAGAGGAGGGAGAGAAGCAGAGACCCTGGATAAGAAGCCATTGCAATAACGCAAGTCAGAGGTGATGCCGGTTGACCAGGAGAGTGACAGTGAGAATGGGGAAAGGGATTAAATTCAGTGTACATTTTGAAATTAGAGCCAGGAGGATTTGCTGAAGAACATATAGAGGATTTAGAGAGAAAAGAAGGGAACATTAACGTGGACAATAAAGATTTAGGCCAAACACAGTTGTCATTAACTGAGATGGAAAAGACCATAGGCAAAGTGGGACTAGGAAAAAGAGGGTTATGATCTGGAGCTCAAGCTGAAACATGTTACCTATAGCTATTAAACATGCAAGTGGAAATGTCAAATAGGAAGTTGTCTACATTGGTGTAAAATTCAAAGGAGAAGTTTGGATAAATTTAAACATCAGAAATTAGATGTTTAAGAGAATCAATGTCATATATTAAGGTTTTATATTATGATAAATTTTAAAATATTTTATGAATATTTAGTTATGAATATTTAGTATTTCATACTCCAAAATATAATGGAACAATTAATCTAAGTATGTGATTTTAAGTTAGGCTTCTGTTTACAGATAGTACATTGACCAAGCTAAGAGAACTTTAGGTTTTTCAACTTTGTAAGTTTAATTTATTAAACAGACCTTAAATACTTAGATTTTGTTAAATCTCTTTAATTACACTACAATTGAAGTACTTAAGAAAGAAATCAAATATACTAAGTTTAAAAACACAATTTAAAATGTCTGAAGGTGTTCAATTAACCAAGCTTGTCAATGGGATCAAGTATTATTCAAAATTCAGTGACTATTAAAATCTGCTCAATTTACAGATGAGTATTTTTAAACTGAATTAGAAGCTTTAGAAAGAAAGAATTAGATCTCTGAATCTTTAACTTAATTAATTTAATAACTATTTTGAAATCCAAAGTAAACTTTTAAACATTCTTTTCTGTATAAATAACCACCATCATAGTATAAAATATGCCAAAAGTTGAGATAATACATTTTTGACATTTGTGTCTTGAAAGTAAAATATCTGAATGTTGGTAAAATATTTACTATTAAATAGAACAGTATTTCTCAAACTTTTTGGCCCTAACTCCTGGTAAGAAATATAACTTACATTGTGACACAATACACATGCATGCATACATATACACACATATAATATAATTACATAATTAAACAAAAAGTTCCATGAAACTACATGTACCTTCCTACCTGAGATCTGTTTTAATAAATCTGTCTTTAATGATACACTCCCTGGAGAAGGAAATGGTAACCCACTCCAGCATTCTTGCCTGGAAAATCCCACCGACAGAGGAGCCTGATGGGCTACAGTCCATGGGGTCATAAAGAGTCGGATATGACTGAGCATACACACATAATGATACATACTACATGGATTTTGCTGCCAACTAATGGATCATAACCGACAGATGAAATGTCACTGATCTAAACTAAGGCCAAGCATTATAGGATTTTGAAACAATTAAATTATCTCATGTTTAAATAACTTTGACTTAACAAAGGCATGCACATACTAGGAATGCGTATTTGTGTATCGCTTGGATAACAGTTTTAAACAGAAGCTTGCTGGTGAATGTATAGCCATGGTATACAACAGGTTCATTTTGTGATCCATCCCAGCAATCAATTTCCAGACAGCGGCATCCTTTCACAAGGGCACTATAAAATTTAAACAAAATAAAATTGTCACTCCTGGATTATAGGTTATACTTTTAACCATATTCCATGGACTATACAGTCCATGGGGTCGCAAAGAGTTGGACACAACTGAGTGACTTTCACTTTTAACCATATAATACCTGGGTTTTATTGCCTACTAGTAGATCAAAACCCTCTGTGATTTTATAGAAAATTTTTTTCCATGGAGGAGAACCTTAAAAATATTGCTTCTGGCTACATCTCTAGATAGGTTTAATTCTATCCATGATCAAGCCAACCTTTAGCTGCTTATTTTAACTACATGGCTTGGTGTCCAGCAAAAAATGACGGGATTGCACTGGGTCATGCCAAACCCTTTACTCAGAAGCTTGTAAGAGAAAGCTCTCTATCTTTCCGTGGTGGTGTGGAGGCCACTTTTCACTCTCTCACACTGACTGAAATGAGTGAATAATGAAACATGTGAATGAATCATGAAAAATTTCTCACTCAATAAAGAAATTCTCCACTTAAATGAATCTAAGGGGGGTTTCATGAATTAAAATCTTTAATGCAGTTAATATTGGTTTTTCTCTTTTAAAGAGGAGGAAACTGAAACATAAAAAATGTTATACACATTTGTAGTTAACAAATGATGGACTGGAAGGAAAGATCAGCACCAGAAACTTAAATATTAATAGGCAAACATCACTCTACACCACCTCTCACAGGTAGAGAAATTTTGAAAGACTTGTATCAAATTGTATCTCTCATAAGTGGGTAAGGAAATAGAGGAAGAAATATAATTAAACTTAACTGTAAATTTTCACAGGGGTAGAACATTTTCTCAGAATTCAAAATTAAATTTCTATATTTCTAAATAAACCTGTTGAAAAGGTTTATTTTGTCTCAAAAAAATATAATGAAGTATGAATAGAAATTTCTGTAGAGCTATGAATGGGCTTATCCTTACAGGATTTTAAGTGGGTATATTTCTGAATTTGTGGATTTATGTATTTACTAGATTTTAAATTATAGAAGCAATATTAACTTGTAAGTTTGATGATATCACGGGATTATAAGATACCTTTTCTATGATTTTTCCTAAGTAATATCACCCAATCACATAGCTTTGAATGGCATATATATGTCAAGGGCTTCCAAGCTTATTTTTCCAACCTGGATACTTCCTCTAAACCCCAGATACATATACCCAACTGATTATCTTGCCTAGCCCTTTGGAAACTAATCAATATCTCAAACTGAACATGGACATCACGGAACTTTTGCTTTTGAATCACACCCTACAATGGCTTCACCATCTCTGCCCATAATGTCATCACATTCTAGATTATCAGGCCCCAAATCCTGATACCCCCTTTCCCTCATACCTCTCTTCAGATTGCCTGGTAAATCACCTTGTTGGCTCTGTCTCCCTAAAATATTTCAAACTAAACCATGTGTCTCAACCGCTGCCTCATGAATTAACCATCTAGATCACCGTCATCCCTGGACTGCGACAATATTTTCCCAAAGCATCTCCTACCTCTACACTTTCACCATCGGTCTTTCCTCCACAGTAAAGAATAAATTAAATTATGACATTTTCCTAAGGAAAACCCCCCCAAGGACTTCCCTATGCAACCAGATTAAATCCATTCTCCCTTCAATGATCTCCAAGACCCTCATAAACTTGCCTGTTTCCTCTAATTCACCTCCCTTCCTTCTCCATTCACTCATTTATACCCACACTTGCTGTCTTTCTCTCTTGTAAACATGCCAAGCATTATTACTTCTTCCCTTCCTACTAGATCTAAAACTTCTTCTTTATTATCACTCAGACCACAGCTATACTCTCTTGAGAAGCCTTTCCTGAACCTTCAATTAAAAGGAGCATCCCTTACCCCACAGTTACCTTCTATCACATTACCCTGGTTCATATGATTCAGTCCCTGGAAATACTGATTTGTTTCCCTCTTTATTATCTGTCTATTCTCATGAACGAACGAGTGTAACCACTTCGAAAATCTTGCTCACCACTGTATCTTCAGTGGACTGACTAAACTAAAACTGAAGGCTAAATTGGTATGAACAGTATATGAGACATCATAGAAAACGAAATTAAAGGTGCAACATAGACTTCCTTTAATCTATGTAAGTCAGCTGACATATGAACATATGTATTATTATCTATAAATGCTACTGTTTTTCTTTTGGCATGTAGATATCTGAGAATTAATTTTGACCATATTTTTTCTTTAAAGTACAGGATGCTCTGAATAGCTAAATAAGATTTTAAAAGTCTTCTCCACATTTTTCCTACACAAAATATCCAAATTGTTCAGGAAACTTCAAAGGGCCAATAACCAGGGAGAGGAGGTTGGCAGACAGGATTAGAAGGGCTTCCCAGGTCACACTGATGGTGAAGAACCCACCTGCCAATGCAGGAGATGTATGAGACACAGGTTCGAACCCTGGGTCAGGAAGATCCCCTAGAAGAGGGCATGGCAATGCACTCCAGTATTCTTGCCTGGAGAAGCCCATGGACAGAGGAGCCTGGTGGGCTGCAATCCATAGCGTCACACAGAGTCGGACATGACTGAAGCGACTTAGCATGCATGCACACATGTATGATAACAATACATTGAATAAAGTATACAACCACCCAAAGGTTGGATATTCAAGATATGCACCAATCAAAATTCTCTACCTTATGGTTTTTGTAACATGCATTGCCTTCCTTTACTGTGAATTACAGCCTACTAGGGTAGAAACCACTAAGAACTTTCAAACATTTTTAAAATGTAATAGATTCAAAAATCAAAAGAAATACCTTACATATCCCCAAAGGTCACTTGGTCCCCATAATTGGTCAGATATCAAGTATGTATTATGTGAACTTGAAATAAAATAATCAGTCAATGGATGAGTCATATCTTGGTAAACATGACCATACTCATTATTAAATATCAGACATTCAGATGAATCCATGTATCTTCTAAAACCTTCAAATGACATCTGGTGTGCTTGTTTAACTATAAAAAATAAAAAGAATGCAGAAGTATCATAAATAGTATAAAAATTACATTTCACTTTAAACTTAGTAGCAGAGCATGTTTCTAAAGTATTCATTTAGAATTAATACTAATCTATTCAGGTTTCTTTGGAAACAAGTTTTTCTAAGGTTTTTATTTTTAGTTCTTTCATATCAACATTTAAGTACACTAAATAGTAGTTAATCATCTGTTTTTTTTAATGTTTAAAATATATATACAAGACTACTATATTTAAAATAGATGGCCAACAATGACCTGCTGTTTAAAAATTTTTTTTAAAATAATTAAAATATATACAAGAAAAGGACATGTGTCATAGATTCATGAATTTCCACAAGCTAACCATCCATGTAACCAACACCAAGGTCGAAGAACAGAACACGATAGCACCCCAGAAGACTGCCACCTGCTAACTTTCTAGTTTTCCTCCATACCCCAATCCCCAACTGCCAAGTATATTCAATGGTATGGCTTCTAGAAGCATAGATTAGTTTTCTTTAGTTTTTGTGTTTTACATAAATGAACTGACACAATATGTATTTTTTGTGACTGGTTTGTTTTACTCAACATTGTTTGTAAGATTTATTCTTGTAGTGGCACACAGATATTTTTTATTCCTATTTTTTGTATAGCTCTCCATTGTGTGAATATACCACAATTTATCAATTCTATTCTTGATGAGCATTTAGATAATATCCAGTTTGGGGCTATTTACAAAACTATACTGCTATAAATAACCAGTATATATCTTTTGGTGCAAATATGTACATGTTTCTATTGGGTGCATTCCTATGAATTGAATTACTGAGTCATTTGCATATTATTATCTTTAGCAAATGATCTGTGAACTTTTTTGCTCGGTATCATATATACCAAAATTGTCTATCTAAGCAGAACACTGGCTCTGGAATGAGACAGCTTGGGTTAAATTCATTTATTTGTTATATGACGAGCCTGTTAACCTCTCCCTGTCTTAGGAATGATGGCAATCATAACATCCATTCATGCATACTAGCGCCGTATATTAGATCTATAAAGGTTAGTTACTGTTGCTTTTGTTTCTGATAATTCAGTTTGCCTCATATTAAAAGCTGGTGTGAGTATTCACTTTAGAGAGTAGTTCTTGGCAAAGAATTTTATTTCTAGGAATTTAAACTACAGAAATAGAGACTCAGACAAAGCTTGATATGCAAGAATGCTCACACTAGCATTATTTATAAAAGCAAAATAAACGGGTGGAGGGGAGGAAAGAGATTAAATCTCAAAATATGATACAATACTAAGCAGACATTACAAATAATGTATCAGAAAAAAATACATAGTGACATTAAGTAAATGTTTATGACATCATAAAAACAAAAAAGCCAGCATTCAAAATGCTATTACAATCTTACTTTAAAAAAATAAAAGCTAGAAGAAAATACATAAAATGTTTATAGTGATGCAAACTGAACTCTCTATTTCAAAGCTATGCAAATTAGAAACATGCAAGTGTACGGGGCAACTGCTTCATATATCGTAATTGTAATGATTTGCATGAATTTATTCTTCCCAGTGCAATTACCAGTGATTGGCTTATAGCTCTTTGAACTATTAACTAAGTAAATATCTTTGGTAATGGAATAAAAAGCGAACTCATGTTATGCCCTTAAAAACTACCAGACTGAGATGATAGTTAATCTGATGGATTTTTATATTTAAAATAAAATGAGGTTCTCCTCATTTGGTACATGTCACATATCACTGTGGGACAAGCTTGAGAAACTTAGCAGCATTTGGGACTATAAGTTCATAATTCAAATTGGCCCCAACAAGTCTCTAAAGTGATCAATAGCCATGTAAATGAAATGAGTGGTCTTGCCTGTGTGCAAAACTGTCTGAATGGAAATAGAAAGTGAAAGTGAAGTCGCTCAGTTGTGTCGGACTCTTTGCAACCCCAGGGACTGTAGCCTTCCAGGATCCTCTGTCCATGGGATTCTCCAGGCAAGAATAGTGGAGTGGGTTGCCATTTCCTTCTCCAGGGGGTCTTCCCGACCCAGGGGTCGAACCCAGGTCTCCTGCATTGTAGGCAGACGCTTTCCTGTCTGAGCTACCAGGGAAGATGGAATGGAAGCAGAGGAAGACTCAAAAGAAGAAATGGATAAACAGTGTAATATCATAGTTAAAATGTAAACACAATTCCAAAACGTCAGTGGCACCATTCCACTGGGCCTTTGCACCTCTTAAGTTGGGCTTCCCTGGTGGCTTAAACTGTAAAGAATCCTCCCGCAGTGCAGGAGACCTGGGTTCGATCCCTGGTTGGACAGATCCCCTGGAGGAGGAAATGCAACCCACTCCAGTATTCTTGCCTGGGAAATCCCATGAACAAAGGTGCCTGGCGGGCTACAGTCCATGGGTTCGCAAAAGAGTCAGACACAATTTAGCGACTAAACAACAATCATTTAACTTACCACCTAAGGGTAACAATTCCAAAGTAAGTGTTTTAAAAATCTTCACTGGAACAGGGCCATAAAGTGCATGTCTGTGAACTGGTTGTTTCCAGGTGGCAGTGATGTAAAGAGCTTGAACCAAAACATAAATCAATTCACTACTTTCTCAGGGAAAGTCTTTGTAATTGAAAGTAAAGACTCAGCATCTGGACTCATCAGATGTGCTTAGAGAGGTATTTGTTTTATACATTCTGGTACAAGCTCTTTATCTTCCTGCAAACTTGCAAGTTTTAATGGAGACCAGACTCTTACTAGGACTATCTTCAGTCTTACCTCAACGATGCTTAGAAGCATCCAAAGTCTTTATGTGCTACTGAGTCATGAGCCAAAATCTAGCTTATGACCAACGAGACCAACATGATTTGATCCCTGCCTATCTCTGCAGGTTCAAACCATACTGTCCTCTTCCTGTGCCTTGCTTCACCTCAGGGCCAACACTTCCCTTGCCGAGACCTCAGACTCTTCTCCCATTTTGCCACACGACTAATTCTTTCTCATCATTTTTGTCTCAGCTCAAATGTTACATTCCCCACGAAGGACTCTCCTAAACACTCACCTGAGCTAGACCTTGTGGGTTGTCTACTCTCAATTTTATTTTTTTTTCTCAGTACATAGTACTCTCTGAAACTATCTATTTGTATGTTTAATTATTTATTGTCATTCTCCTTCCAACCCTTACCAGGAATATAAGACTTGGTTTGCCTCATTCTCCACCGTATCCTCAGCCCCTAGAAAAATGCTTGGTTGCCACAGATAAATACTTCAGTAAATCAGGAAGTATGAGTCCATGAAGGAATGTTTTGTTTTCTTAGAAGCCATATCATCATATGTTAAACACTGGTAGCCATAAACCAGTTTGCAAAGGCAGAACTCGGGCTTTCACACGCATGCGTGCCTGCTAAGTCGCTTCATCTTGTTTGACTCTTTGCAACCCTATGGACTGTAGACTGCCAGACACTTCTGTCCATGGGATTCTCTAGGCAAGAATACCAGAGTGGGTTGCCACGCTCTCCTCCAAGGGATCTTCCCGACCCAGGGATTGAACTCACATCTCATGTCTCCTGCATTGGCAGGTGAGTTCTTTACCACTAGTGCCTCCTGAGAAGTCCTGCACTTTCATATAGCCCTTGTTAAATAAATATTCTGAGCTACTGTATTAATCTCTGTAGGGTTAAACAGCATGCTTTAATAGTGCTTTTTCTGCAACTATATGAATATTATATTATGTCTTTATTATTTTATTTAAAAATAAGTATAAGTAGAAAAAAATCAAAGTGTTTTACCCATTAAAGATGAAATAAAGATCAAAAACTATACAAAAGATCACTAGCCAAAATGGTCATTGGACTTAAACCAGATGATTGCATAGGAAAATGAAAGAAAAGCAAAAATGTTTTAATGTTTATGAAATGTTGTAGACAATTAAGTGTAAACAACAGAGAAATGAGTGCTTTTACAATGTTTTATCTCTTTCCTAGAACTGTTTTCATTTAGCTAGTTTAATATTCTATATTTTGTCAATAATATATAAAAATGGAAAACTACCTACACCTGGGTTTTTATCTTATTAATGAATATCAGGACCCTTTCTTCCATTATGGTATTTATTATAATAGGTTCCTCATCTTGTTTTCCCTGCCTAAGTTCATCTCTGAACACTTGAGAGGTACAGAAACAATTAAAAGAAAGGAACTGGACGATGAAAGAAAGTCGTGGTTACACAACATAGCTTTCTAAAAGGTATGTACACTGTCTGTAAGTTACAAAATTAAAACTGTCAATATATAATATTACCCAGAAGAAATTTGACCCAATCAAGTTTGAATTTGATAACTGCTATTAATAAAAACCAGTTTGCATATAAATATTTAAAACTCTGAAGTAAAATCATACCTTCTTCAATAGGCTCATATTTCTGAATGATCTCAGAAGCAATACTTTCACTGAAGTCAAGTGTATACTGCTCTCGCATCAAAAATTGGACCAGGTTCTTTTCTAAAAGAATTTTCCGGTTTTCAGAATACGTGTTGAAAATCTCAACAATTTCTTCTCTGTATGTAATAATTCGATAAATTGTTCTAAATTCTTCTATGGTGATTCTTCCTTGTTGCAGCCTGTCATTATCCTACTAAAAAAATTTACTGGTGGACTCACATTTCAAATGTAAAAAATACACAAAACAAAAATGTTAGAGTAGTTGTGTAACATATATACCAACTTATCCTGAAAAGAAGTTACATTGGATTCTTATTGTAGATAAATACATAAAACTGCATGAAATGATGCCAGAGTTTGGAAATGACTAGTGGATAATTACCACTTAAAACCTGGTGGCCTGATTCTCTTTTACTACTTCTGCTTTGCAAATAGATTGGATTCCATATATATGTGTTAATATACGATATTTGTTTTTCTCTTTCTGACTTACTTTACTCTGTATGACAATCTCTAGGTCCAACCACATCTCTACAAATGACCCAATTCCATTCCTTTTTAATGGATAAAATAGATAACTAATGAGAACATATACCCATTTGAATGCAGAGTTCCAAAGAACAGCAAGGAGAGATAAGAAAGCCTTTCTCAGTTATCAATACAAAGAAATAGAGGAAAACAACAGAATGCAAAGGACTAGAAATCTCTTCAAGAAAATTATAGATACTACCAAGGGAACATTTCATGCAAAGATAGGTACAATAAAGGACAGAAAGGGTATGGACATAACATAAGCAGAAGATATTAAGAAGAGGTGGCAAGAATACACAGAAGAACTGTACAAAAAAGATCTTCACCACCCAGATGATCATGATGATATGATCACTCACCTAGAGCCAGACATCCTGGAGTGTGAAGTCGAATGGGCCTTAGGAAGCATTACTATGAACAAAGCTAGTGGAGGTGATGGAATTCCAGTTGAGCTATTTCAAATCCTAAAAGATAATGCTGTGAAAATGCTGCACTCAGTATGACAGCATATTTGGAAAATTCAGCAGTGGCCACAGGACTGGAAAAGGTCAGTTTTCATTCCAATCCCAAAGAAAGGCAATCCCAAAGAATGCTCAAACTACCGCACAATTGCACTCATTTCACATGCTAGCAAAGTAATACTCAAAACTCTCCATGCCAGGCTTCAACAGTACGTGAACTGTGAACTTCCAAATGTTCTAGCTGAATTTAGAAAAGACAGAGGAACCAGAGGTCAAATTGCCAACATCCGGTGGATCACAGAAAAAGCAAGAGAGTTCCAGAAAAACATCTACTTCTGCTTTTGTGACTATGCCAAAGCGTTTGACTGTGTGGATCACAACAAACTGTGGAAAATACTTAAAAAGATGGGAATACCAGACCACCTTACCTGTCTCTTGAGAAATCTGTATGCAGGTCAGGAAGCAACAGTTAACACTGGACATGGAACAACAGACTGGTTCCAAATAGGAAAAGGAGTACGTCAAGGCTGTATATTGTCACCCTGCTTATTTAACTTCTATGCAGTGTACATCATGAGAAACGCTAGGCTGGAGAAGCACAAGCTGGAATCAAGACTGCCGGGAGAAATATCAATAACCTCAGATATGCAGATGACACCACACTTATGGCAGAAAGTGAAGAAGAGCTAAAGAGCCTCTTGATGAAAGTGAAAGAGGAGAGTGAAAAAGTTGGCTTAAAAATCAACATTCAGGAAGCTAAGATCACGGCCTCTGGTCCCAACACTTCATGGCAAATAGATGGAGAAACAGTGAAAACAATGACAGACTATTTTTTTGGCCTCCAAAATCACTGCAGATGGTGACTGCAACCGTGAAATTAAGACACTTGATCCTTGGAAGAAAAGTTATGACCAACCTAAACAGCATATTATAAAGCAGAGACATTACTTTGTCAACAAAGGTCCATCTAGTCAAGGCTATGGTTTTTCCAGTGGTCATGTATGGATGTGAGAGTTGGACTATAAAGAAAGCTGAGTGCCGAAGAATTGATGCTTTTGAACTGTGGTGTTGGAGAAGACTCTTGAGAGTCCCTTGGACTGCAAGGAGATTCAACCAGTCCATCCTAAAGGAAATCAGTCCTGAATATTCATTGGAAGGACTGATGTTGAAGCTGAAACTACAATACTTTGGTCACCTGATGCAAAGAATTGACTCATTGGAAAGGACCCTGATGCTGGGAAAGACTGAAGGCAGGAGGAGAAGGGGACGACAGAGGATGAAATGGTTGGATGGCATCACCGACTCAATGGACATGAGTTTGAGGAAACTCCGGGAGTTGGTGATGGACAGGGAGGCCTGGCGTGCTGCGATTCATGGGGCCACAGAGAGTCGGACACAACTGAGTGGCTGTGCTGAGAACACACTGCATAGCGCAGGAACTCTGTTCCGTGCTCTGTGATGAACCGACAGGGAGAAGGAAATCTGAAAGAGGGGATATATGTGTTCTTATCGCTCATTCCCTTCGCTGTAGAGTAGAAACTAATACACTATTTTAAAGCAACCATACCTCAATACAAATTTAAAAAACCAAAAAAAACCTGGTGGCCTGGGCTGCCCAGTTTAAGTAAAGAAGCAAACCCTGTTCCTCAGGAGAATTGCAGCCCATAAGTAGCTCTCTGCCCAGAAAGACTTGCCCAACTTCAGGCTGAGGTATTAATGCTAGAGATTCTTCAAGACTGAGGATGTCCTGAACCATCTAGATTTGCCTCAAACCTCGTCCTCACTGTGGTGTTGACATACACCATCCCGTGAGGTACTTATGTGTGCTCAGTCATGCCCGACTCTTTTGCAACCTCATAGACTATCGCTCAGCAGGTTCCTCTATCCATGGGCTTTTTAAAGTAAAAATATTGGAGTGGGTTGCCTTTTCCTTCTGCAGGGGATCTTCCTGACCCAGGAATCGAACTGGGGTCTCTTACTCTGCAGGCAGATATTCTACCGGCTGAGCTACCAGGGAAACCTATCATTGGAGATGGGAAGTTATAATTTTGGTAAAGAAGGAAAAGGAAAGCACAAAGCGTAAGTAACAAGGAGAAGAAAGATGAGGCCTGGGGAACACAGTGTCAGCAAAAGAAAAGGGGGAGGAAGAAAAGCGGTAAGCAAGGAAGGTTCAAATCTGAGTACTGAGCCTCTTAACAGCAGCCTCAATATTAATATAGGGTATCAATGTATTAATATCTTCCCTGTAGGATGAAACTGAAGATCAAAAGCTTTATATGTCAATTGTCACCAGTCCCAGGACTTGAACTAACTCCAAAGAAGGAAAGAAAAGACAATACACTATTGCCCGTACTCAAAGTAAGAAATGGAATAGTTCCTGCGATATCAATAAACAAAGGATATCATCAGTGATTGCAACCCTCCAATGTGAGCTGGCAGGGGGCTTCCCAGATAGCTCAGTTGGTAAAGAATCACCTGTAATGCAGGAAACCCCGGTTCAATTCCTGGGTCAGGAAGATCCACTGGAGAAGGGATAGGTTACCCACTCCAGTATTCCTGGGCTTCCCTTGTGGCTCAGCTGGTAAAGAATCCGCCTGCAATGCGGGAGAACTGGGTTTGATCCCTGGGTTGAGAAGGGAAAGGCTACCCACTCCAGTATTCTGGCCTGGAGAATCTCACGGACTGTAAAGTCCATGGGGTCGCAAAGAGTCGGGCAGGACTGAACGACTTCCACTTCCACTTTCTTTCAATGTGAGCTGGTGAGCCCTGAGGGAACTCAGGAAGAACACCTGCCATCAGACTGCAGCCACTGCCCATGTTGACCCCTGAGGAGGATATGAAAACACAGAATAATGACCCCAGATAGCTGAGGTGCGTATCAAAGGAATGATTTCAGTGAGCCTAGACTCTTACATCTTTCTATACTTAGAAAAGCACTAAACTACTGATATCTGGGCTCAGATGGTAAAGCGTCTGCCTGCAATGCGGGAGACCCAGATTCGATCCCTGGATTGGGAAGATCTCCTGGAGAAAGAAATGGCAACCCACTCCAGTGTTCTTGCCTGCAGAGTCCCACGGATGGAGGAGCCTGGTAGGCTACTGTCCATGGGGTCGCAAACAGTCAAACACGACTGAGCGACTTCACTTTCACTGATATCTGCTTTTCTTTTATTTACAATGATCTTTTGACATTCAGACTACCTAGCTTTTCTAAAATTTCTATGTAACCTGGGTCCCCCTTGCCTCCTCAGAGCAATTCTCCCAGGATTATTTTAGATGCTACCTCCCAGGGTCAAAATCCTAAAACTTCCCATCAAACAGAACATAACTCTCAACTTTTAGGTTGCATGTGTTGGTTCAGTTGACAAGAGTATATTTGCAGAAATAAATTAATGTCAAATACAAGTCTGATCTCTCCTAACTCTCTTAAATTTCTCAGGGTTTCTCCTCTGTTTTCAAGACAAAATCCAAACTATTGGCCTCCAAGACCCTCAAAGACATGGTTTTTGCACCCCGACCACCACCACCACCTCTTCCATGCACTTCACACTGTACTGTGCTCTGAATCAGTTACAGTATAAATACCAAGCCACCTCTTGCTATTGTAAAGGCTGTTTCTTCTGTCTGGAATATTGTTTTCTTTTTTATTTAAGTTGGTTGGGAAGAGCCTCTGGAGTAGGAAATGGCAACCCACTCCAGTATTCTTGCCCTGAAAATTCCATGGACAGAGAAGCCCAATGTACTGCAGTCCATGGGGTCACAAAGAGTCAGACATGACCAAGTGACTGTGCATGAGCGTGAATTTCTACTAATCTTCAAAAAAACGTCCTTCTCTAGAAGTCTTCCCTATGTCCCTCTGTGTCTCCTCCTCAGGTCATGTCAGAGAGCCCTACCTAGGATTCCTAGAAGATTCTAAACCTGCTTCTCTACTGGGGTTTATTATACCAGAATAAAACCTTTACACATCCCTTCTAGAACTGTCTCAGATGCAAAGTCTGTCAGTTGTTTCCCGTATCCTTAGTACATATAGGGTTTCCCTGTTGGCTCAGATGGTAAATAATTTCCCTGTAATGAAGGAGACCTGGGTTCAATCCCAGGGTCAGGAAGATCCCCTGAAGGAAGAAATGGCAACCCACTCCAGTATTCTTGTCTGGAGAGTTCCATGGACAGAGGAGCTTGGCGGGCTACAGTCCATGGG